GGCTGGTCCTTGGAGTCGCTCCCCGGAGCCCCCGAATCCTCCCTTTCTCCTGCAACCCCACCTAAAGCAGCATCCAAAAATTTTGAATGCAAGAACTCGAGGTGAAGGCAGAAGTGAACTGTTTCACAGTCCTCATAACCATGCAAATAAACCCTGATAAACGTGTGTGTTCATTAGAATACACGGGTAAATGTGGGACTATAAAGTTCAGCCCCTTCTTCAGTCGCTCAGAACTTTTCCCCAGCGACGCTCCGGCTCCGTGTTCCTCGTGCTCTGCCCTCGCCACCCAATTCTCCTGTAATTTGTCATCCTCTGGAGGGGAAGGGATGGGGCTCCCTTTCAGGATGCATTGGAGACGTTGGACATCAGAGGGAACAATCGTTAATTTTCAAAAATGCTAGAAATGCAGTAAGAAAAAAAGAAATAGGCTTAAGTAAAATTGCAGACCTGAATAGACTGAAATTCGCAGCCATTAAAATTCCAATCCCTAATAGAATTACTTTTTATTTCCCCCCCAGCCCGGACAGGTTTCCCTTCTTCGGTCTAAGCAAGAACTAACCCCCAAATGTAGGGCAGCGGAAACCTGAATTAGAATATTCTGGTCGAACTCATCTCTCTCTCAAAAAAAAAATAATACGTCAAACACGAAATGAACGTAAACGTTGAATGGGAGTTGTTTATAGAAATAGCTTCACTTCCTTTTCTCTGCAGATGGGAAGAGTTGCCTCGTGGCTCTGGTTGTGCCTCCCAGAAAGAAGCCAAGGTGCCCTATCTCCCAGGGCAGGGGGAAAGGGAGCCGGGGAATCAGATGACTTGCGTTTGTGCTTTGGAAGTTGCTTAAATTTTCTACTTAATTTGATTAATTTTTCAAAGTACACCATGGAAAGGCGAGTGGCTCCTTTATTGATTGATTGGCAATCCTACGCTGCTTTGCTTTGCCGCAGCTAAACAAAAACGCGAAGGAAATGGTTCTGAAGCAATGGGTTTAGTTTGGTGGAGATAAGCAGGGGTTTTTTTCTGGAGGTATTTAGGGAGCAGAGACTTGAGCTTCAGTGTTTGTCAGAAAACAGGAGCTGTGTGTAGTTCTTTCTTTGTCTCTCCTTTGATTGGCATGCATTGTGTCGATTAATTGAAAAAACATATATATATTTACACACGGGCTAAGTTCTTGCCTCCGATGAGAATGGAGATGCTTTTTCTGCCTTACCTAAAGAGCAAGTGGGTACTTGAAAGTTATTCACCAGCCTTTGTAGGTCAACTTCTTCCATGGAGCTTTGTTTCAATTGTCAGATCATAAAGCCAGGGAAGGGTATAGATCGCGTTGCGCGTTCTGAGGGCTGGGAACAAATGGCACATTTCAGCATTTGGGTCCTCTAGGTAGAAAAAAATTAATCAGATGTCTGACAAGATTTGTTATTCGTCTCTATTTCAGGCTCTCCTTTTTTTTTTTTTTCCCCCCCTATTTTTTTTTTTTTTTTGCCTGGCTTCCAACAAATATTACTAACGGGTACTTTTAGGTTTTAAAATATGGACAACGGTACTCCATGCAGTAAAAGACTTGAACGATTAATGCTACCCTTATGCCTCTTTTGAGTAGTTTTAGCCATGGGGCTTGGCACTGCCACCATTGTCTTTGTGCCAAAAAATATCCGCAGCGGCTGCCGCATTCTAGTACTAGAGGGTTGTCTCGAAAATTCCGCAGTGAATGCGTCGGGTGTCTACATCGCTGTAGACGCTCTCTCTTTTTTAAAACATTTTTTTTTTAAAAAAAAAAAAAAAGAGCGAGAATCTTTAGCTGTTGCAAACCTTGGAAAAGGCAGAGTAGGGGCTGGGGTGCTCAAGTGACTGAAAATGATGCATAATGTACAGTAAACGTGGAAATTCAGGAGAAGCTTTTGTATTTGCGAGCACAAATAGTTGCTTAAAGAGCCTACTCTTGCATATTATCAGCACTCTTGCAAATTTTATTATCTGAAACAAATGTGCCAGTGAATTTTAAGCAGAAAATCGACATCAAGACTGTAGCTAATTTTAAATGGACAGTTTATACAAAAGATATTTTCCCCCCCTCCTCCCAAAAGGAAGTGTCATTACAAAAAAAGTATGATAATTTCATAATTGCAGTTGATGGGGAAAATCCACGTATGTATATCTTTTGAACGGTTTCTTGACTTTTTTCATAAATTTGGGTTATTTGTCCTTAACGGAGGAGGCAGATTTCTAACCGGGTGTGGGAACGACAACAACAAATGGAATAAAGTTAAAGGCTTACACTCTCCGAATGAAACGTGTTCACTCCTGATCTCCAAAAGCTATCTGTTTGGTGGTTAAAAAAAAGTGGATGCTATAGATGAAATCTTTACAAGGAGCATAATCCTAAAAAAAAAAAAAAAAAAAAAAATTAAAAAAAAAAAAAAAAAAAAGAAGTCAATCTCCTGCTGGCTGCTGTGCCGCTTTGGTACCTCACAGACTTCGACAGAGTCCTGGACGAGTGCCCATTGATGTCATGGAAACACTCAAATTACTGAGAATGATTCATGTCTATGCTGTTCTCTTATCCTCCCCCACACAAATAGAAGTAGATTTTAACCCTGACAACTTGTAATTTGCAGCGGGTTTATTTTTGTATCTGGATAAATATTTTTTAACAACTGAAATTAAGATGAGGCTGCCTGTGTCTGATCCGATAGAAACGAAGATTGCCGATCCCCGGCGAGAAGCCTGTTCAAAGTACCTCGTCTCGCTGCTTCTCCTTGGTTCCCCTCCACCCTGTTTTTCTGGTTGGCATTTTTTTGTGTGTGTGTGTGTTGTCCCCCCCCTCCCCTCCAATCCTCCCCGCTCGTTATTTGCATCGACTTTCTGGCCCTCTTGGGGTGATGGGAAGTAGCACAGGGAACTCCAGGCGCGCCAGCGAGACATTTTGTTTTCAGACCTCGGCGTTGGGCTCGGGGATTCACGATTCAAATTTCATTGTCATTTCAATCTTGAGTTATTTCTGCCAAAGCTTCCAGGGCTCCGGAACCTGAGGGGGGCTATGGAGTGGGTGATCCATCATTTTTGTATAACCGCATGCAAGTGCTTTCAAAAGTTATTACATGTGCAAATGTCCTATGAATTGCAAATAAATTTTGGAGGTTCCCGTGTACGAGTAACTACTTCATGTGGAAAACAACAAAAAAAAATACCCCAATCGAGAAACAAAAGCAAGCTCTAGAGTCTTAAATTATGATGAGGAGAAAGATGATTTTTATTTTTTTATTTTTTTTATTCCAAACCGCTGGCGATAATCAAACTTTATCCAAAATTCCTCTGAAGGGCTATCGAACCCGGTAGCCGGACGTTAAAGGAAAGGAGTCAGAGTGTGGCCACGCTATTTGGGGAATGATTAAAATTAACTCCGTCATCCTTTGTCTAACGATGTGCCTCACCCTGGGTCCCTTTATGAGATTTGGATGGCGTTGGGAAGACCGAGCGGCGGCGGTGCCAGGGACCCCCACACCCCTGGCTTTGTCGGGTCGCTGGATATTGTCCTTATTATAGCAGGATATTTCCAAAGGACGTTTTTTAAGGGCTTTGGTAGGTGTTCTGGCACGGTGGCTTTAGTTTTGGTGTCGGGGAGGGGGGGTTGGCAGCCCCGTGGACCTGGCTCGTAGGTGCAGAGGTGTCCCCGGCGCCGCTGGGAGCCGCACGCGAAGATAAAGCGAGCATCTGGTCCCCGGTAACCGGTACTGTGTGCTCTGGGTTTTATGCCCCAGCCTATCATAAAAACTTTAATTTTATGAGTGATTTTTACTGTGTTCTTGGATGTTTTGTTAGATAATACCTCCCCCCCCACACCCCCCTTCCTCCCGTGATTATCCTCACCATAAGGGTGGTCTTTTAGTGTCAATATGTTTTGTATCAGCCCTCTTGACTGCTCTTTGTCTCCGGAGCACGTGGTGCGGTGCTGCTCAGCCATGACTTAATGCTTTGCAGAAACCACCTCTTCCCTTCTTGATTTTGCTCGAGTCTGGCCATTCAGACCTGAAAGGACCTTTCTTTTCCTTTGTAAATATGGCATAACCGTAACCGGTACTGCAAGTCGGGCTGCTGGATCTGAGGCTTAAGGGCTTTCCGGGGGGGGGGAAAGAAAAAAGAAGGAAAAAAAAGAAAAGGGTGTTTAGGGCTGGCAGAGTCTCAGCAGCTTTTGGGCCCCCGTTCAAGTCCCCGCAGCCCCAGGGTTGGTAGCGAATGGCCAACTCCCAGTCGGTGTCTCCTTCCCAGGTGTAAATTCCATCATCGCCTTGATCGCCGGGGAATTGGCTCCTGGAAAGGAGAGTGGGGAACCATGTCCCCAGCATCTCTGGGGCGAAGCTGGCTGGTGAGGGGGTGAGGAACACACAGGGTGATGAACATGTAGGGTGAGGGACACGTAGGGTGAAGGACAGGTAGGGTGATGAACACATAGGATGAGGAGCACATAAGGTGAGGGACATGTAGGGTGAAGGACAGGTAGGGTGATGAACACATAGGGTGAGGGACATGTGTGGTGAGGAACACGTAGGGTGAAGGACAGGTAGGGTGAGGAACACACAGGGTGATGAACATGTAGGGTGAGGGATATGTGTGGTGAGGAACACGTAGGGTGAGGAGCACATGGGGTGAGGGACACGTAGGGTCCCAGGGTGGGTACGCAGCCCCCAAGCCCAAGGATAGGCACGGAGGAGGTCTGCTCACAGGTGGAAGCCCTTAAATCCCAGGTCCAGGAAGCGTGTGGAGCAGCGCAGCCGAGATGAGGAAGTTCATTTCCCATCACCATCCTCAGCATGAAAAAAAGCGTTAATCCCTTTCTATTGCCTACACGCGTTGTGTGATCATCAGTGCCTATTCTACATGGCTAAACAGCCTTAGGGAAATGTGGTGAACATCATATAAAAGGCTTAGAGAAGCTGTATGTATCTCTTTATCTCTGGTCTACATCTATTGATTTTTAATTTTTTTATTTTTTTTTTTGTTAACAGGTAAAACAGAAAGGGGTTCGTACTCGTCGTATGGAAGAGATTCCAATTTACAGGGTTGCCACCAGGTAAGTGAAAGTCTGCCCAGCGGAGGGGGGGTGATAAATACTCTGACAAATGAGCTTGGCTTCTTGAAGTTGTACATCTCAGGGATGGGCTCCAGCATCACCGGCGATGGCTGCAGGCGGGCGTTGCTCAGAAAGGGGGTTTTATTTGCAAACGTAGGTTTTTAAGCTCCAGCCTGGGCTTTTTTATCCAGGATATGGTCACTGGAGGCTCGGAGTGCTTGGGTTGACCTGATAGCACCCAAGTGGGAGCTAGAGATTCTCCTCCCTTGCCACAAGGTTCGAGTCCTGCCCCACGGCACGAGGTGGGGAATCACACCGGTGGCAACACACGGCAGAGCTCCCGTCAGCCCCCAGCCTTGGATGGCTACCGCAATAAATTATAGTTTTCATAGAATCTGTATGATGTTGTGTGAAAACAAGGTTGTATTGAGGGATAAAAATGTCTGTGAAAATATGATTTGTTGTCCCTTTTTGTTTCTGAATTGTTTTTGGCTGGAAGTCAAGGCCAGCAGGCTAACAGCAAAGCCGTCTCAAGGGAAGCATGCGTGAGCTAGAAAAATAAGAGTAGTTTAATTAAATAATAAAATGCCAATGTAATACAAAGGTATAGCATGTGTGTGCCTGTGCCTCTCTGCACTTTGCATTTGCATACTTTTAAGTCTCCAGAGAAAGTCTGAGTTCTAAAAATACTATCAATAGCCAAAAGTCCGTGCTTTGTTTCAAGACAATTGATTGTGTTTTTTTTAAAAGACACTTTCTTTTTGATTTCAGTAGCAATATTAATCGAGTGTTTAAATTCATTTTGTTCTTGAAGAGTGCTGGGCTCCCTTTTCCTTTTTCTAAGAGCAGTAGCTTCCCACTTTGGAAAACTATTGAAAGAATTTAATAGCCTTCTTAATATTCAAAGCTTTATACTGTTCAAATCTGCAAGGAAAAAAAAAAAACCACATATCAAAAAACTAGCCCCAAATGCATATTATTTCCCTATAGGAAAGGGAAATACTTGATCCCTTCTTTCCTTTCGTGTGTCCGTGTTCTTTAATAATGAGGGGAAACAGGCTATTCTTACGTTGCTGGTTTGTGTTTTTAAATGTTTAGTGGAGAAAAATGAAGCTATTTGAGCAATTAAACAGCAGTTTCTGTTGGTGGGTGCCGTGGGTGGTGCCTGGAGGCCAGGGCTGTGCTCTTGGCCGGCTGTTGCCACGTGCCCCTTCCCTCTGGGATGTATCCGGCCCCCGCGCCGGGGCGGCTCCTGTGGATGGATGGACAGATGGGTTCCTGTGGATGGATGGACAGATGGGTTCCTGTGGATGGGTGGACAGATGGGTTCCTGTGGATGGACAGGCTCCCATGGACTGGGCTTCCTATGGCTCTGGTTGGGCGCTGGAGGCAGGGTTGGGGCAGCTGGTGGTGGCATCTTCTTCACACAGTTGGCCATGATGGTGGTGGCATCTTCCCCAGGAAGGTGGCCATAGCGCCCCTTGGCTGGCCACTTTGCCCCCTCTGCTAAGGAATCCGTCTGAAGCCCAGAGAGGACCGAGAGGCCCCTGTGTTTGCCGGTCACCGTCCACATTGTTTGAGTTTTGGGGATGTTTCCTGCATGAGGTTTCTTGGACTGGGAGAGGTGACAAGGGACTGTCACCGTGCCCTGCTTAAAGCACAGCTACATGTTTAATTGGATGTGGAACAAACTGGAAGGATGCAGAGCTGCTCACTGGTGAAGGTTTCCAGGCCAGGCCTTGAAAGTCAACCTAGTGATGCACTGAACCTTCCCATCCCCAACTCCTTAGTGGGCCAGTAAGTGACTTACTGGTTTCTCTTGCGGTAACCAGTACAGATACATGCAGACGATCACACGTGTGACCTACCCTCACCTGGTCCAGAAGATCCCTTCATTAATTTTAGGAGCCATTTCTAGCTGTGATTGAATATCCTTGCGTGCTATTGTTAGGAGGCAGCAGGACGTGTTTCTGTCCCAACCCTATTGTCCCCAGCGTGTAGTACCACCCATCCAAGGATGACACCCATCCCCTCTGTGGCTCCAGCCTCTTGGAGACCCCGCTCTGCCGCTCTCTTGGATCTGCTGAGCTTTGACATTTCATCTGAAAACCTACCTTTTAGTTTTTCTTTCGGTCTTACTGCCATGGGATGATCTCGTGATGCTGTGAGGAAGTTAGAAATTGTTTCTGAGTTCAAAATAGCATCGCACCTGAATAAGTGGATAGATATAAGTGGTCTGTATGTGCCTTAACACAACTCGTGCTGTGGCCTCTGTGCACACCCATATCTGGGGATACCTGCAGGGCACACGTGTGCTTTCTTTAATTTGGGAGTAAAAGGTTGACCTTATTTTCTAAGGACAGAGGTGGAGATGTAGGCTTCAGAAGACAATTTGCCGTAAACAGCTCATTTTTTCTTAAGCATTCTCAGGTTTATGTTTCTGGGAGAAGGGAGGTGGCATCTTTTAGAGGCTTTCAGTGGTTGTGGAGGGTGACCCTGTTCCAGATACCCCTGAAAGGACCGGGGAATGACTGGATGTGATGGTTCTGCAGCATCAGAGCCGTCCGGCGGCACTGGGAGCCCGAGGGGGAGATATCAATCCCGTGGGGATGGAAGGCAGGAGCCCCGTGCCACTGCCTGGCCTGGCCTCTCCCGGCCAAGTGACAGATCAGCAACCAGCTGAACCCCCCGCGGGGACCCGCCGGGTAATTGCTGTAACGAGGACAGTCGCCTGCAGGAACAGGCAGCGCCGTTTCCGCCTCCTCTTTTCATGCAGCACCCACCACCTGCAGCAGAAGTCCACGCGCCGCTCCCGCTCGCCACAACTTCTCTCCTGGTCCACAACGTGGGAGAAGACAAACCTGGGAGTGCTGACCAGCCCCAGCCTTTGGGCGAGCTCCTTCATAGGGTGTGAAAAAGAGGATTTAAGCCTCGATGGGCAGCGCAAAGCGGGGAGACGCTGAGCATCCCTGTGCCGGGGAATACGGTCCGTCAACATACCAGGAAAAACCCAACATTTATTCCAGTAAACAAGCCAACGGCTGGGGTTGTAATATGAGAGTAAATGTATTTTTTCCCCCTGAATGATAGCATGAAATAATTATTTTTTACATTCCGGTGGACCAGTTCTGGAGTTTCCTCAGAATTGAGTTGGTACAGACATGGTCACCTCTCGAGATCAATCCTTGACTGTCTCTCCGTGGCAGTGCCCTGTGGTTGTGTGGGGCCAACAAAGAGCTGATGGAGGAAACCCCACCTTCCCACACTCCCTTCCAGTGGTTTCATTCATGAAGATTTGAAGAATATTAGGAAGACACTACAATAAAAGTGGAAAGAATAAAAATTCCAATCCATGGAATAGAGTCTTCCATTCTACACTTTGCATCCGCTTTCTTGAAGCGGAATGGAAAAATGGATGAAGCAGATGACCGGTGCCCAGCCAGGAAGGAGAAAAATTATTTCTAAAATAAGAATCTCTCGAATTCCTGAAAGGTACAGAAGGAATAATGCTTAATGCTGAGGCCGGACCATCTGTTGTCTGTTCTCCAGGCTGCAGAACTATCAGGATCCACCAAATTATTAACAAGTATGAACCTTGGGGCTTAAAAGAAAATTAAAAGCTCCAAGCCTATTGCGAGATTTCTGGGATGTATTGAGAAAGATTAGCTTATCTAGACAGGAGATATTGAAGAGAAGTCGGTGAATTCCAAAGGAAATATTGGTGGTGATATTGCAGCTCGTTGAGAATCCCCCGAAGCCTCGGGTTATCCGAGGGACCGGAGCAGCGGCAGGAGCTGCCTGAGCTCCTTTTTCCTAAACCCAGGAGGAACGTGCAGATTTTGTTGATTTCTGAAAGGTAAATTGCTACCTCCAGATGTGATGCATTGCTCTCCGTAGATGAGTTCCTGGAACAATTAAGGAAAACTAAATACCTAACGATATTGAACTTGCTACCTATTAATCTTCTGGTAGGAAAAAACCCAGCAACCTCTCTTTGCACAAATAGGGGGAGCGAGGGGAGGTTTCATCCCCGTGCTGCCTTCACACCAATGAGAGAAGAGGTCAGATCCACAGCAACCCATTTACTTCCAGATGATTTTTATTTCCGAGCCTAGGGCCCAATTGGGCTCTCACTGAAAACCATAGCAAATACAACACTGATTACAGTGGGAATGGAAGAAAACTTGTCTGGGGAACGATTTAATTCCATTAGAGAGAAGTCATCTAAGAAACATGTACCCAAGTTGTTGTCAAGACACTTTTGAAACACTGGCTTCATTGAAGTTAATGACAAAAAGCTCATTTCATTCAGTAATGTCAGGATTTTGCATGTTGTCTTAATTCTGTGCTACTTACCATTTCCCCAAAGATCAATTGTTTTCTATATCGTGCTGGTTTTGCGGGGGGGGGGGGG